AGGCTGGAGGTCTAGTTGGTTTTCCACAGTGGTGTTTAGTGTGATATGGACGTGGGACAAACAGTGCTTTCCCTGGGTGGTTTTTATTTGTATCAATGTGCCTGGCCCTTTTCTCGACTCATACAATGTAAACCAAATCCAGATCTGGTAGTCGGCATCCCACAATGCCCAGTGCTGAGCAAGGTTTAAGCAGAGTTGCTTTGGCCTGTATCAGACACGACTAGTGTGATGTTGTGACGTACGTTCAGTGGTATGATGCAAATTAGCGAGTCGACCTGGTTCTGATGTTGGCACTGTATGCTGATTGGAGCCGAGCCGTTTGAAAGGTGATTTTAACGTGGGTCACTTACCAAGTTGTTTGACACAGGTCAGTGAGCCATTTCCACTTCCCCTAGAGGCCAATTGTTTGCGGTTTCAATAGCTTTTTTGGCCAGTGGGAGAGGGGTGTAATATGAGGCCCTAAAATGGAATGAGGCCACCATAGCATGGCTAATGTGGTTGCTAAGTGTAGGACATTGTCTGCAAAATTCCTCAGGTAGACTGAGATTTACGAACAATACTCAGATGGTTCCCTAAGATGCTGTTCTACACACCTTGGATGTAAACACTTGTTTTTAAGATAACATTACCTTTCTGTCCTCTCAAATCTGTCTCTCAATCCCTTTAAATCTTGAGTCAAAACTCACCAATTCACCAAAAAAATAAAGCGGCCAGAGAGTGTATGCTTTCTGGCTTCCCTCATAAAAATCAATGAGAGGACATGAAAGGTCTCATCACTCTCGGTTTCTAGCTCTGTCATCGTGGAATGACTTCAAGATCTTTTAAAACCGGGGTTTTATTAGCTTGAATCTGGAAACAAAGTGACATCCTATTTTTAACAAGGACACTGTCCCCAAAAATATGTCAAGGCCATTTTTTGCACATGGCCCTGTCCTCATAATGTAAGAGCAAAGCCTCCCTCAGCAGCTAGACACTGGAGTTTATCAGTATAAACGACATGAAGTCTGGTCTTAAAGCTGAAGTCTGTAAGTTTTTAAAAATCACTTTTTTGTCATATTGGCTAAAACTGTCCCTATGCCCGGACAGCAGTACATGTGATATGTAACCTGTGAAAAAAACTGCTTCAATTGGTCCCGCCTACTGCCTGTATTTCAATCTGGAAAGAATAATTCGGGACGAGTCAAAACAACCAATCACAGCCAGAGGAGCGTCTGCTGGAGTGTCAATCACAGCCCACACACGCTGAATCCCGCCCCCCCCCCCCCTTCTGGTCGCATGCGGTAGCCGCGCAGATGCTGTGAGAGGGGTGGAGCTTGGAGGTGGGGCATGAGTGAAGCAGAGAGGGTGGGGGAGTGGAGTGAAACCTGTTTTTCTTCAAATTTTCAGTCGAAGTCTGCTCTCTCCTCAATGTTACAGACTGCAGCTTTAAACTGCAGAGGCACAGATAAATGTGAAAATGTAAAATCTGTGAGGAAAAGGTGGACTTCTTTCAAGGATAGAGAGATATTCCAGATATACACATGTAAACATACTTGGGGCATAAAAAATAACAGATAAAGAAAAAAAAGTCTACACAGGCTGAGACAATTAATGCAGCGAGATAACAGAAAATCTTTATATAGCTGAACCCAATCAAAAACAAAGACTGAAGTTTGACTGAAGTTAAATGTTGTAGCAAGTTTAAATAACAGAATATCAGAAGTACCTGTAAAAAGGAATGAGAAATTGAATAAAACATAACCAAACGTTAAGCACGCTTATTTTCTTCCACTTCTGTTTTTAGATGTTTCAGACAAGTCATAAGTTGAAATATTAATATTTAGTATTTACCTTTTTTTCTTTTGGAATAATTATCATCATTACCTCCATCTCCATGGCTTTAAATCTAGTCTTTCTTTTAAGGCAATAGATGAAAGATGGAAAAAAAAATCTGGAATAAATAACACTGGATTTGTTTCAGGTTGTGCACACTTATTAAAGTACATTTTTTCTTTGATAAATAGAATCCTGCACTCACTAATTATCACAAATTTCCATGTCAAAATCATATTTTTTTTTTTAAGAATAAAAATGACGCTCATATGAACAGCTGCTGCAGAAAAGGAGTTTATATGGTTACATTGATAAGACATTGCGTGGAATACATATTAACAGTCTAAACCCTAAAATCCTTAACAGTCAAACACCCTAAAATCAAGTATGCAAAGAAAAACAAAGTTTTTAATCATAGATCACAGCTGACCCTTAAATTTTGTTCCCAAGGAAGCTCGGCCATGGCAAAGGTGCATGCAGAAACGAGGAGTCCTCCAAAAGTTGAAAAAATGTGACACAGCAGAAAAGTTAGATTAGAACAATATTTCATCAAATTTTATGGATCTAGAGTAACTTTCTGCAGCTATCTCAGCACTAGACTGACCGGACACATAAAATACATGTGATGACCACTTGTAGTCAAAGAGTAACTTCAGAAATGGGCAGAAGAAGCTAGCTACCATGTTTTGTGAATTTTTCCTTTATCAAAGAGGGAGAGAACATCACTCGGTAAAACAGAGAAAGACCATTTTTTATCTTTGCAAATTTATTTATACGCATGAAGAGTTTGAAGGATCTTTTTGTGAATTGCTTTTTGCAGTAGGTATTACAGATGGCATCTAACCAATTCTTGATTTAATAAAACAAAGAAACATGCAGTAAAGTAAACCCTTTGCAGATGCTCATGTTTTTTAGATTACACGTCCTTCTGTTGAACAGGTTTTCCCTTAAAAATTCAGGACAGATGCATCTGGATGGAAACTGTCACTTTTTTAGATTGTTTGGCTTTTCTGGTGATTTAAAGGCAAGTGAATACTTTTCACAACTGGTTTGGCAGATATATCTGTGAGTATGTGTTCTGTAAACCCTCTGGAGAGATTTTAGTGGAACAGCCATACAAGCTGCCTTCCTGAGTTCACATCAATAGACGGTCTCTGTGGTTTTGTTATGCTAAAGCCTTCACACTGACAAAGCCTCTGTATCAAACACTGGTTTCTTGAAACAACAGGGTCTGTGACCCAAACGGATCATTAGCATTTGATGCCACCAGACTTGAATATTAATGTGGATCTTCAGGTCCTGGGACAGTTAATTAATTCCAGTTTTAAGTCTTGATCTTAAAAAAAACAAAAACTTGTGTCTTGTATCTCTCTCTGAAGCTCTTAGCTGCTGTGAAGAAGGTCAGAGAAAAACCATTGACATCCCAACCCAGAATGTGCTCAGTGTTTTAGATAAATGAGCAGTTATAATGAGAACAGGCTCGTATTTCCTGTCTGGAGCTTCAGCTTCATCCGAGCATCAAATGCTGTGGACCGTCTCGCTTCAATTACTGCCCTAACCTCCTTAACCCCTCATTTCATTTTAACCCCAATCTTGTGCTTAATCTGTCCCTGATTTAAAATGTAATATAAAATACAGTTATGCACAGGCATTCTGCTTGGAGTTTTATTTGGGCTGAACAACGGTTCAGGACATCTAACAGGAAGCATGAGGAAGCCCCAGAGCTTCGTTGCCACCTGTTCAGAGCTTGCATCACATTACTAGTTATGGATACGTCAGCCAGCACTCCCTTGTGCCTCCATTTAAAAGGAATTTCTGCAGAAAATAAGAGGGAAGCTCTCACATCTCTTGCCTATTTAAACATTGAATCACACATGTGAAACTTTAGAACTGTTAGGATTCCAGTTTGTGAGGTTTGTTTTTTGTGTTTTCCTCTCTCCACCACCAGGCGGTGCCCTGTCCTCGTTGGGCCTCCCTGCACACCTGTGACTTGTTGGGTCATTACCAGAGGAGTACTTGAGCAGCGCGCTGTCACCACCTCGGGTGTTTGCCAGTATTGGGTACTCTAGCCAAACTGAGATTAGCAGTCTAAACGTAGCATTGTTTCTCTGAGTCTGAACTTGTTTTTTGTCTTTGTTCTTTGGCAGGAAGACTTCCTGTGTTACTGGATAAGCCTGGACCTTCTACCCCTGGAAGGATTTACTTAGTCTCACTGAGCAAGGGGAAAACCTCCACATGATCCGTTCAAGTCCACTCCTGGAAAACCAAGTGACAGTCCGCTCCTTAACTCCTCTGGGTCCTACGTATGTCTGCCTGTCCGCTCTCCAAGTTCCCTCTTCTCTGAATTAAACCCCCACAAACTGGATCCAAGGATAAACCAAGAGCCACCCAAAAGTGAGTTCCTCTTCAGCAATATTCAAGCCTCAGTCTATTTTCCCACTGTCCCTGAACTGATCACTGTGATCTCCCCTTCAGAGTTTCCGGTTCCGGTTCACCAGTCCGCTGATTTCCAGCATTGTTTTCCTCATAGAGTTTCAATCTCCATCAGTGTTTGCTAACCTACAATAAACCTGTTAAACTTTTACCCTTGGTCTCTGAGTGGTTCTCTGCATGTGGGTCAGGTCTTTAATGCCCATTATGACAAAAACCTGTTAACCTTACATAATTTTATCCTCACTTTGTAATTCACTGGCTCAGTATCTCTGCAATGCTGTATTTTAGAGATGGCAGTTCATTCCATCCCAATAAAGATTTGAATACGGGCCTTCTGTATGCAAATAGGGTGACTTACCACTTGACCTAGCTGGCTACAGGGTAAGTCCTCCTTAAGGAAAAACAAACTTTAAACTGAAATTTTTTCTTGAGGAAACTTTCTAATTCTGTTTGAGTACACAATAGCCAGACCAAGACTGCCCTCCCTAAACACCAGACATCATTTAGACTTTGTTTTTTAGGATAAATCAGGTAGGTCAGTCTTAGTCTTGATTTAGTCCAGAAACAGTTGTTAAAATTGGGCTGGGTTTGGTCAGTGTGATTTTGTGCCACTTTAGTCTAATAGTAGACAGTGAAACGTCATTTTTAACAACATGAAAATTACAGCTTTTCACCTTTCACTTTTAAACAAATGTAGACATCGTTTGGATGTAAATCATGTTGTTTTTTCAATGAGGAGTAGTCAGAGCTCCTACCTGGATAGAGCGATCTCAGCCTTCTGTCGGGCGATATCTGCCGCCTTCTGAGCACCCTCCACAGCCCGGTCCACCTTCTCCCGGATCTTGCTAGCCCGGAGAGGGATCAGGTTTTTCCTTTTTCCGCTCACCAGGATGTTTTGCTTATACTTTCCCTCCTCTTTGGTGCCATCTGGAAACGTGGTGCAGCCGTAGCCATGCCGTTTGTTGCTTAGCCACTCCCCTTCATACTGCAGTCCGTCAGACCGCCGACTCACACCAAATCCGGTCCGCTTGTCATTCTTCCACTCCCCACAGTAGGTCTCTGTGGCCGTGGCGTCAATATCATCATCCACAACAGCCAGCTCTGTGTCCGCATCTCCAAGGCTGAAAAGGGCAAAGGTCACACTGATTCTCATTGGTATTATAACACTGGATTTTTGAAATGAATACAATTAAACTGAATCGTTCAGATGAACAAATATAAGTATTACTATTTCCCAAATAAAATATTTAGAATGAAGAAAATTTGTATTTTTTTCAGTTGATTTTTTTCTCCAAATGCTAAGATATTATGGATATTATTGGTTTCTCTCCACCAGCTTTTCACTAGAGGGTTAGCTGTTTTTTGTTTGTTTGTTTTTGTTTCTTATTTTCAGGTAAAACTTGTGTAACTGGGTTAGATTTATATGCAGTCACCTCAGTTTGTGATGGCAACATTAAGTTCTGACTGCTGCACTTAAGCTACTTTCTACTTACCGTACTGTCTGTCTTTATAGGGTTGAAAAGGCATTGCCAAGAATTTGGGACTCAAGAGAACCTTAGCGAGAACCATTATCTACAGACAGTGAAAACAAGGACCTGAGTAAAACCTTCCCAAGAGTCGCTGGCCAACCGAAATTACTCCAAGATGAAGTATCCGGGAAGTCAGAACAGCTTCTAATGCAGGGGTCTGCAACCTGCGGCTCCAGAGCCACATATGGCTCTTTGGACCCTCTCCAGCGGCTCTTAATAGTAGCTAAAATGTATATAAAGAGCTAAATAATTTACTATAATATATACCGGTATCAATAGCTTTAGCGTTTTTTATAAGATGGAAAAGAATGAGATTAAAAGAACCAGAAATATGTTTTAAGAGACATTTTTCTATGAATTAGCTTGAAAATTATATGTTTTAACATTAAAAATACATGAATTGTTGATTGTTTGAAATGGCAACAGCTGATTTCCTGTACAAGATAAAAAAAAAAAGGTTTTCTAGAAAAAGTCATGTTATATTTTGCGGCTCTAAAAAACTTTTACTTGGTCAGACTCTGGGCAAAACGGCTCTTTGGATGTGAAAGGTTGCAGACCCCTGTTCTAATGGTTTAAAGGCCTCAGATTAGGTCAGGGTTCATGGTTCAAAAGTAAAAAAAAAAGAAAAAGAAAAGAAAAATGGCATCTATGGAGAAGTTTAGAAGTGAAAAATATAATAAACAATAAAGGCTCCCCCCACATATAACCCCCCCAGGTTTTTGGTCAAATATTCTGACAAGAAAAAAGTGGACATTGTTAAAAAAGTGTTCCATCTGAACTAAAACCTAAAAAGGATTTTTACAAACGATTACATCATACCATAAATAAAACATGATGATGGCAATGTGATGGTCTGGGACTGCTTCACTCCTTCACAGCCAGGAGGATTTGAGTAAATAATGTCCAGAGGGAGATTTAGCTTCACCAATTTAAACTCAAATGCACTTGTGTTCTGCAGATGTACAAAAGATTATCTAAAGCACCTCAGCAAGTCCTAGTTTAAACCTAACCTTGAGCTGCAAGCTGGAATGTCATGAGAGATTTCAGTCTCACAACAACTCTATATTGAAAGATTCCCACTAAAACATCAATCTCAAAACAAGTGAGGCGGACCAATGACATGCCAGCAGTGTTTTTTGGGGCAGGACATGTACAGTAGGAATGACGACAGTCAGAAGGGCATTACAAACATGGCTACGCTGGAGGACTCACTTGTCGATACCGCAATTGACTCGGTTTCAGGTATATCGACAATTTCTCGTTTAAAAAAGGAGCAAAGAGAAGCACTTTGTGCATTTTAAATGGGAAAGATGTCTGTGCTTTTCTTCTGACAGTATTTAGAAAAAGTTTTATCTATCAGCTTATTCCGCTAGTTGTGAAAATACTCAAGAAGCTGCCTGATTCGCTGCTACGATCGGCTGAAAGCGTTTTATGGAAGGTGGGTACTAGCTAGCATGTCACCCAATCAGCTAGAAGTATTGTACTTAACATCCCTCCTTTTCACAGACAGACTAAACGGCAGCCATCCCAGATTGATAATGTAGAACTCAACTCAGTTCTACACATATCAATCTGGCTACTGCCAGGTTAGGTGAAAGCATCATCTTTGTTGGATTTAAAGTATTTTCAGGGTTGTGAAAAATATAAGGGAGAAAATACTTTTCACAGTGATGTAACACTGAAAAATTCTAACGTTTGAAACGCTAAAGTCTTTATCCTAAAGTCAGAGTCAAGCCTCAAGTCAAGAGCCAAAATTGCAGAAATACTCCAGAAAGAGTATATTCTTCTTGAGCTTTTTGTTCTTTTTTTTTCAGAATTAAGTTCTATGGATGTACTGCAGCTCATGCACACATATGTACAGGGTGTGGAAAGACAGTCTAGGATATTAATAAAGGATACATTAAATTAATTGTGTGCACTTTTGAACTAATAGTTGTAACACATCCAGGTGAATTTCCCAGACAGTGGTGAAAAAGTCCAATTCCAATCCCAAACTTAAAAAAAACTTTTTATTTTAAGTCAAGTCTAGAGAAATAAAATCAAGAAATTATTTCTGCCTAAACTCCTCATCTCTCCCGGACACAACAATAACATTATTCCAAGTGCAAAAAGGAATAGTCCAAGATTTCTGATATTTTCAAACATTGAAGGCGAAGTCTTGTTCTATTGAAAAAGGGGGTCAAACAAAGTAATAGCAGCGAGAAAGCCACTCTATAAAATAAAAAATCCCGTAAGCCTGTTTTTCTGTCATAATCATCAACACTTTTCCCCTAATTCAATCATGTTTGGATGCACATCACCTTCAGCTGCTGTCAAACAGTGTGCAGCTCTATTGTACTAGCTTTTTTAATGAGCCAACTCAAAACAGAAAACAATTAATTTGATGAAGATTCATCTATTCAAGACTAAACATAATGATGTTAATTAACCTAAATAAAGGAAGGCAGAGGTTGTTTAAACCATTTGATCAAATGTCTAAACTGGACTGGGTCCTAATTTGTTATGCAGTTTAAGTGGAGCAGGTGCTCTTCCTTTCCCAGAAAGTCCGTCCTCCAAATGAAGGGCAGTTTCACTTTAAACTGCGTCATCTCATCATCAAAGGACCAACAGTCATTAGCGAACACGTCCCAAAGTCATTCAGTCAAGTTACACATGGAAAGCTTTACTTGGGAATAATAAATGTTTTGCTAACTAATAAGAGTCATTTATTTGAGCTGATTCAGGGCAGACTTTTTCAGCAGATTCAGGGAGCTGCCTTTTCCGGCCCCTTTGTGTGTTACTCTGTAACCTTTGCCCAGTTATCAGGTATAAATCTGAGGCTTTGTCACAAACCACAAAGGTGGACAGGAAAGCATTTTTGTCTGACATGAATGATGAATATGCTTTGCATTTCTTATTTATAGACCTTTGTCATTCACCTTGCTTTAAATTCACAAAAGTTATGTCCAGCTCATTTATGTCCACCCATCAAAAAAAACATTGTTTTTTCAAGATTTTAAATATTCCTTTTATTTTTAGCATTTTGCCATGATCTTGGTACTGAGGACTGTCATAATTATTCATTTCGTTCACCTGTCTAACTCGGCCTGGTTTCTCATCACTGCTCATCTGATCCACATATTCCTGCCTCTATTTAAGCTGCTTGCATCCAGCCATCAGGGCCAGATTATTTTTGTTCTCTTGTGGCAGTGTAGAGAGTGTTCTTAGCATACCTTAGTGTTTCTGAGTACCTGATCCTGAACTGTTCTGCCTCTCAACTACTGAGCCAGCCTGTTCCTGTTCTGATCTCTTTGCCTGACCTGTCTTTGGACTCCTGCTTGTTCTCCGTTCTCCAGGGCTGCAACATCTGGGACACTCTGGGCAGTGCCCTCCACATCTTGTTGGCAGCCCACTAGCCTGATCCTACCTTGTTCTCTGGGCATGGACTGAACTTGTAAACCAGATTAGGGACTTTTGTTCATAATCTTTTTCTGTTAGATTTACATGGTCACTAACCTGTGTTTCCTTTCTGCAGAGTTTCCTGTGATTCTGTACTTCCTGTATCTCTGCTTCTGTCTCCTTTTACCCCAGTCGGCCTCTGCAGATGGCTGCTCACACTGAGCCTTGTTTTGTTGGAGGTTTCTTCCTGTTAAAAGGGAGTTTTTCCTCTCCACTGTGGCTACAAGCATGCTTAGGGCGAGGTATTGCATTCGAGTCAATGAGTCAATACAATCAACTGGTTTTCCTCAGATAGAAAACTTTGAATCGATTTGACTGTATTATCTGGTGAACTGTAAAGTGCCTTGAGATGACATGTATTGTGAATTGGCGCCATACAAATAAAATGAATTGAAATTGAGAAGTGGTCTAGCAGCTGCTACTCCGATCCGCCAGTTCCTAATGAACACATTTGAGTAATCCCACTGTCTGTCTTGCCTTAAATACTGGGTCCTCTGTTCTGAGCCGTGACACATTTAAGTGGAAGATTATAAAGGAACAACTTTTATTGATTCTAAAAGCAAGAACTGAAGGGAAAGACCAGAATTTTCTCTAATCTACGGAGATTCTGAACTATGCATACAGATGCGGACATAATAATAATTGAACTTTATTGATCTCACAATGGAGAAACTTTCTTCTGCATTTAACCCATCCCTTTTTGGAGCAGTGGGCTGCCATTGCGTGGCACCCGGGGAGCAGTGTGGAGTTAAGGGTCTTGCTCAGAGAGCCAGAGCGGCAGCCTGTGGGAGCAGGGCTCGAACTCAGAACCTCAGGATTCAAAGCTCTATGCCCTAACCACTAGACCGCAACTCCCCACTTTTTATTTTATTTTATTTTTTAAATTGAACAAATTTTATAATTGCACATGTGCCCAGAACCGACACACCACTACTCTTGAATGGAGTGGAGGAGCAGATTCCATTTGGTTTGTTCCCAGAAATAGACCAGTATAGTCCTTGTATTTTCAAGAGGTTTAATTTCAGGGCCTAACGTTAGCCTGCTTTAACCTTTCTAACCAGCTCAGGATGAGTGTTTTGGATCATTTGTCTAGATTTCAACCAGTAAGTTATTGATTTGAAGTGAAGCTAAAGAATTTGGATGTATTCCTCCTTTATTATCTCCTCCACTTTGTGCAGTTCACCAGCCCCACACCCTAATGGTACCACCACCGTGTTCAAGAGTTGGCACAGTGCTCTTTATGTAGAAGGCCTCACTTTGACTCCTCTGGACATATTGTTGGCCGTTGCGATTGTATTACCAATATAGTGTTCCAACATTTAGTAGAGCTTGATGTTTCAAATTCCTTCTAGAGGCTTCGGCTTTTACTTTGCACAATATCAGACTCTTTTTATATAAAACTGTCTTCACTGTGAGCAGTGACTTTAGTGTTGCAGTTTTCTATCCTCAGCATGCTTTGGTCATCCCTGAACATCCCAATTATTTCCTTTCGACTTAAAGAAGTGTTTTTTAGTCTTCATATGGAATCTTGCAAAGCCTCAATACATCTGATTAACTTGTGTTCACATAAAGAAGTTTGAATTGAGGATTTTAGAATCTGTTGTCATTCAGAAATTACTCTAAAGGCCTCTACTGGCTTATGTATGAATAGAGTGAATGTTGTTCCATTATTGGTGCATGCAAAGCATTGTTGCATGCCTTTTGTACTTAGAAATTAGGGGGGGGAAAAACCAAAACACATTTGTAAAAAAGAAAATGCAATCCAGAAATTGAGCTCTAAAAAGGGGGTTTTAAGGGTAACATTTGTCTGAGTTTTTCTTCTTATATTTATTTTTCAATTTCCATATTTTGAAATTTTACAATTTGCATTTTTACAAAATGCAATTCTTCTTAGGTTGAGTTTTATTGCATCCTCTTCAAATTGCATTTCTAAAATAACATTCTCTTCACTTCAAAACCAATACAAAAGCTCGCTTTCGACGCACACAGTGACCAATACAATGGTGTTGCTAAAATTCATGCAGAGCAATAAAAAACCGTCACTCCAGAGGAATACCCGCTCCCAGGAATGAAGAAATGGTCGTATGTGAAACACAGTTTGAAAGGAATGCAACGTCAATCTCAATCTGAAGTACAAGAGTTAAAAGGAATATTTGGAAAAAATCTTACATTTGTAAAAAAAAAAAAAAAAAAAAAAAAAAAAGAAAGAATATTGTAATTTGAAAAAGAACATATGCAAAAATAAATTTGAAGGAAAAAAAACAACAAAAAAGAAAAAATCTGAGAAAACAGCAAATTGCTCTCAACAACTAGATTTGGATTTAAATGTTTTATTTATTTTATTTTTTTTATGGTTATTTTTATTTTTTGTTCTTTGTTTGCAACAATAATGGACCAAAATTCATTCCAGAAATGATTGTGACCATCATGTCTGAGGTGTGGATGTAAAACTTAACCATTAATTCAAAGCTAAATATAATTCTAGTTATTTGGGGTGGACTTTTTATTAATGACTTATACAGCATGGTTACCTGATGGTGGAGTTGATGTCAGAAGCAGCTGAGGAAACTGTGCTCATCCCTGCCTCGCTCCTAAACGAACTCTGTTTGGATCTCTGTGACGCCAGAGAACTTCTGGACTCAGACTTTCTCAGCTTGAGGCCAGACAGGATGGACATCCGAAACAGGCCTCCTTTCCTCTTCCCCTTCAGCAGCTCAGCCTCGCTGTGCGCCGTCAGCACGAAGCCTCCGCGGGACACTGCGGGGCTGCTGCCGCTGCTGCCCGTGCTGCACATGGAGACGCTGGTGGTCAGAGTTCCCGGAACCGGGGGCTGACCTGGAACCAGCGCGCCGCTTCTGTCCAACAGAGCGGTCCCATTGCTGTGCTCTGAACCGGAACGGAGAGAGTTTATGGAGGTGCGTAAAGGTGAGCGGATGACGGCCGCCATCCCGTATGGGACACTCTGCCGGACTCCGTAGCCATGACGCATCCCGCAGACCCACTGGCCCTGGAAAGTTCCTGTGGGGGAAACAGACACGGATCAGATCTGAGATACGACCTGAATTTAAAACACTGTAATCTAACCTTATGAAAAAGCTGCAATAAAAGGAACGCTAGCCAATTTTACCAAAAAAGGATTGCTTTGTTACAGGTCTGTTTTAAATATATCACCCAGCATGGACAGTTCTAGACAGGGCCAACAAGGGCCAGAGCCCCTGTTGAACCGGTCTTGTCCCCTGTTACAATCAGATGACAGTTTTTCATCTGCTCAAAGTTATTTTGAACCAAAGAATTAATACAAATACTGAATTTATCAGCTTGACTTAGGTTCTAATTCTGATATGATTAAAAGTTAAAATAAGTTAAAAATATGTATCCTGATGAAGATTCTCAGTCATCCAGGTCATAGTCATTCCAAAAAAAGTAAAAAAAACAACAACAAAAAAACAATCCGCTGGACTTTGTTTTCAATTTTGAAGATGTTTCTCTTCCCACCCAAGAAGCTTTTTTCACATTTTCAATTTAAAAATCTTCCAGGATGTTAAATGAAGCAGCTTCAAACTCGAAAACAAACTTTTTTTGGAATTAAAAATATGTAACATTCCTGCTTTATAAATGTACAATGACATAATATCACAAGAACAGGTTTATTTTATCTTTCAGTGGATATTTATTTGTCTTAGGTGAATACAATTTTAAAAAATTATCCAAAAACTACAAATTTAAAGGCAAAGCAACATTAAATTATACTAAATGAGGAGGAAATTTCCCTTTATTTAAAACCGAACCATAAGTAGCTTTTTTTTGCTTCTACTCTTAATACATTTTAAATTATAAACTTTTGCTGTTTTTGTTGTTTCATGCTTTCCTGTCCACCTAATGAAAACACCTTGGACTCCTTGTGAATTTAATCTAGTACCACCAGTATTGGCCAGCTGATATTTATGGGTGATTTTAGTGTTTGTTTCTTGTATCAGTCAATAAGTGCATGTGTTTGCTGATTAATCAGTGCATTCAGCAGCTATGCTTCAAGTTCACATAAAGCGCATAAATTGCCACTCTCTCCCTTTGCTATCCATTGTTAATGTGTTTTTTTATATATATAAATTTGCTAATAAATGTCTATTTTTATAGACATTTATTAGCAAATTTATATATATAAAAAAAAAAAAAAAAAAAAAAAAAAAAAAAAAAAAACACAGAGTACGAGTACGAGTACGAGTATGTCTATTTTTACTTAAATTGAGACCTGTGTAACATTTCTTACCAATGTGCAATTTTCATGATGTAAATGGAGGAACAGAAAGATATATAATACTAAAGATCAGCCCAAAAAGGTTTGACAGCTGCTATCTTCTTATCTTATCTTATCGTATCTTATCTTATCATATCTTACACTGATGTCAAATAAACAATATTGGCCTTATAAAAAAAAGATAAGTGTTTGGTTGCAGGACGTTGATCGTTTGTCATACTTTTCTGCAGAAAATCTTGAAACATCTTGTTTTATTTCTTTTTTATTTTTGTTCATTAACCATCTTTTAAGGTCATTTGGGCCAGTTTGTGTTCATTGGCGAGTTCAATGTCTGCTGTTGGGGTTTACAGATTCAGGCTGTTTGTTGTCAACATCCAGTCACACATTCAGGAAAGGTGCCAGCAGGAGTTGGGACCATTCAGTGACAAATCCTGGGTTATCAACCATGGTGTTACTGCACTGGACTTGGCATCAAGCTATAGCCTGACCTGACCCAATGAAGAATCTATGGGCTACTGTCAAACAAAGACGAGAGACACCAGAAGCAATACGAAGATGAGCTGAAGGCAGCTGGGCTTCATGAAAACCTCTGTAGACTCACAGGCCGATCACCTCCATGCCTCGCTGCACTGATTCAGTGATTCATGCAAAAAGAGCCCCAAGTATTGAAAGCTTAGATATTACTTTCATTAAAGGATCACTTTTAAATCAATTATTAATAAAGTTCATTTTTTGGAAACACTGGATTTAGGCTTTTCATTATATGTAAGTGGCCTGAAATTTTGCTCTCTCTATGTAATATTTAATTCTATGACTTTTGGAGCTGCACTTGAATTTACTCCAAACTTAACAGGACAATAAGGCATTTCTTTCTCACTGACAAAATTATAAAAACCATTTTATTTAAAGTCTTTAAAATAAAACGTTTATCCACTAAGAGTACTTTGCCTTTAAACTATTTGGAAAAATAAATATGAAGACGTCTTGGCTTGATTGGCTTCTGAGAGGTTAATTTACAACATTTGTGTGAAACAGAATTCCATTGGTTTAAGGCACCTAAAAACTCACTGCTTCATTTAGTGACATCATGGGAAAATTAGAAGAAAAGATCTAAGATATCAATAAGTGAGTGGCGGAAGTTAATAGATCAGCTGGACATGTTTTATAGATGCCTGAGAGTTCATTCATTCTTAAAATATTTCTTTTATAACAAAAATGCAAAATAATAAAAAAAAATTTTAACCAAAATAAATTCTGTCAATGGTTTATTTTATATTACAATAAGTCAAGGCTCTATAACTTTAGGCTTACTACGGTATCATTTAAAGGCATCATGATACATGCACTCTATCATGTGTTTTTTTTAAAGAAACATAATATCTGTTAAATATAAAACATAAACAGAGAGTCCTACAATATAAAAGGGAAGGCAGTTTTTTTATTCAGTTTTACTGGTTTATGTGTAAAGTTCAGACTTTATTACAGAAGACTGTGTTCCTGTTGTCATACCCCCTTCATTCACACCATCACGCAGCATTCCTTGCTGCATAACAATCCCTGCATCTCTATATTGCTGGAAAGTAGGCCATCTGAGTGAGTGTGTATATGTGTTTGAGGTTGTACTCTCTCTCACACACACTCTGCAGCGGAAGTGTGTGTTCCAATCGGAGAGCAAGTGATCCATCCCTCCTGCCAGACCTCTCTGATGTAACAGCACTCTGATTCATTCTGTAGCAAACGCGCTCACTCCAGCACGACTACATGACCATATAAGGACAGCAACCACGTTCTCCGTCTCCATCGCAAAACACGCACAAATGGTTCCCTTGTGGGCTCGAGTACCAGAGAAAATGGGAATGGGTGAATGGAGCGAACCTTCGAAGCCAATCTCACTTTGAGTTACGCTGTCATGCAGCAGGCATGAGACTTTTAAACGCATGAAGTGGTGTTAACTTTAAAGCTGGCCCAGTCATTGGGAGGCTGCGCTTACTCTCATCCCCAAACATGAACACACACACAGAGACAAACCCACACAAACACAGAACCTGCGTCAGAGACAGATGGGCAACACATCTGGTCAGGCCTTTGTAATCATGTCAGCAAACAGCTGTATGACCATATGAGAGACAGATCAGACACTGCACTCAAACACACACACAGACATACATGTGCAACAGATTAATGAGATTTTATGAAATGGCTGCTTTAATGCTGAATCTGAGCAAAGAGGCAAAGGGAACAACTAGGATAAATGAGGGGTAGGGCAGAACAGTAGTTACTTGGGCATGTTGGTTTGTGTGTGTGGTTGGGGGGAACAAAACTGTATGTTGGGCCCTGGGATTGAAAAGCAAAGAAAAGATGCAGCAACACAAAACCTAAGACACAAACAAAATAAACAATTCCATCATATGTTTCCTTTAAATGAATATCTGTCTATGTACTATATGTGTTCAAAATCAGAATTAGCACCAAATAAAAGTGAAAGTTCATTGCCCTGACTGCTTTTTGCCCTTTTTATAAACGGAATTAGGCATATTCTGAATCAAACGGTTGGAAGTTTGAGTAAAGCATTATAAATTTAATTAAGTTCTCTTAAACAGTAATGTATTTTTTAAACATACTTAGGTTGAAACATTGTCCCCTTTATCGGAATATCCTGGAGAAAGAGAAAATAATATAAAGCTATAACATAAAAAGAAAAGTTGCAGATTCACCTTTTCACATTAAATACACGGCTGTATTTGGTGCTAAATCCAGATTTTGATTTTGGAGAACAGGGGGAAAAATAGCCCTAATGATAAATATTGGGTTCCTCCTGGTGTTTGCACAAGCATGGGTGTGCAGTAAAGTAAGGCAAATATTCTAGTGTTTGCATGCAAGTAGCAGACATGCAAACATTATGATGGCAAGAAAGAATGCTTTCAGCAAAGGAGGTTAAAAAAAAACTGGCCTGAGTTTAGCATATGTCACAACAACTCGAAATGAGGGGACTACAGCGTTTTTTTCAAAAGTTGATTATTATCCAAGCTGCACACGTCGTGCTCAGTTTATCACTTGCTACAGAGTTAGGAGGTTCAATCTGAGCGCCTTCAATCTGGAGCTTCAATTAGACCTGATTTAGACCTGGGTAAATATTAAAGCTGTATACTTTCTTAGCTTAGGCCTAAATACACTTTATTCATGGTGGTGCTGCATGACAATTGAAAGAAAAAGTGTGAAAGTAAAAGATAAATATTGTATATTGCCACTTAGCCAAAAAAATGTCTTATTATTTTTGCTCCATCCACCCAGCACTAGTTTTTTTTTTATCCACCATGATATCCACACACAAGCAGACTTGCTGTCCCAAAGTTCTGAACTCTTAGAATATGCCTGCATGTTTTGCTGTTTGCTGCTGCACCTTTAATCTGATTAAATTTATCCCTGGTTTCAGCTGGTGCCTCTAAAATGCATCAAAGTGAAAAGGGTTATTTCTGGGATCAGTGGGTTGTTTTCTATCAGACCAATATTTCTAAAGAATCTGCATTTAAAGGGACCATCTGCAGGTGTCCTCTTTCCACTTCATGAATAAAAGCCCAGGACGGGAAATGCTCTTTTCCAAAGAAAAAATATTCACTTTGGAAAATGATTAGCAGCAGTGCTAAGGGGAGCAATTCTGCTCTGGTTGTCAGCTTTACGATGAATAATGTAGTTACTCTTTTTGTGACAATTAATAACTTATTAGAACTTTAAATCTGCTGATCTTTTAATCCATAAGAGGATT